GCATGTTGCAATATAACAAAGACAATAAATCAGTGTGTAGTACTGAGCTAGATGTGAAGAGCTCACAGAAAATATACATGTACCAGTGCATTCTAGACTTTGTATTTGTACCATGTACGTTTTAAAACAGTAAGTAGGTTTTTAACAGTACAACATTCTATTACTCTTTCCATCTCCGCCCCTTACTCACACATTGTGACCCCTGGGGAGGCCTAACCCCCATGTCGGGAACCTCAGACCTAAATACTAATACATGCATATGTAACAATTCTGCAAATCGGAATGTTACCGCCAACAGCAGTCAGCAGGGGGTTGTGCACTGGTGAGGTCTGGGACATTGACTTCCTTTATTTATGTCAACCCATTGCACAAAAACTATTGAATAAATAGGAAAAGTCTAGAAAACAAATACATATTTATTGCGTTTAAGTAAAGCATCTTAATGACATTTACATTTACATCATACACTTTCTTTTTGTTAGTTTACTTAACACAATGAAGTTGAATTAATGTAGGATTTTGTTTATTGTACATTACCAAATAAGTCAAATCACTCCTACTTGCTTTATCAACACGAGTGATTTAAAGGAATACAACTCAGTAATTTCACTTTACCTGACTGTAATGTTCAGATCGGACAACAAAGTATGTATGTGTAAAACAACCAGATGCAGGTCAAAAGCCCCAAGAAGTAGCTAGCTAGAGCTTTCTTAATTTTTGAACAACCCTGCAACCAGAACATGATCATCAGAACACTGAACTCAGTTTCAGGTGAAACAGTTTACCTCGGCTGAGAGTAAAGCTTGAGTTATAGTTATGTCTCACAGCACATCTACGGCGGGAGAACCTGGCTGCCTGTGTTGTCTGACGCAGATGGAAACGATAAAGAAAGACTGTTATCGGCTCCTTTTTAACAAACAACCCTCCACTGCTCCTCACGACCACCCACTCTGCAGATAAAACATCAAACTCAGAGCACACAGTGGTCTTAAACTCATTTTAAGACAGGGCAGTGAAGAAGTTACCTGGATGTAACCTCAGTTCTGTATGTAATCATTTAATTCAATGGGTTCAAAGGCTGTATTTAAAATATGCACAACAGCTACAGCACAGTTTTGCCATGACTTTTTGTCTCAGGCTAATATCCAGTTAGCATCTTAATTAAGCATGAATCCAGTTTGAGAGAAAGCATTGAATTGTCTTTGACATTAATGCTGAGGGCAGATTTAGACGACCGCTGGAGGGAACACAAACACGAACCTACATTATATACCACATTACAAGAAAGGGGAAACTCCAAAAAGCATAACTGGGCCTCTTTAACATTCCAAATAATCCACTACAGTTACAATTGAACTACAGGTTAGAAGAACATTTAGTTATAGGGCTACATTTCCCCACTAACGGATGAGGGGTAAAATAATCAAGGGAAAATTATTCTTCTCGCCTACAATGGGCAGGCGCCACCTTACCTTAACCTGTTGAGCCCTGAGCCTGTTTTTCAGGTCTCAGGCTCCAAAATGACATTCCCAGAACAAATGACCATATCTTCCCTTCTAAAAGGGGTAAAGTCATCGTCTTTTTTCTCAAAGCAATGATACACCTGTGAGTTAGATGTAGAAAAGTCAGAATCAATATAGATTTTTTTATTTTAAAGTAAATTCAGATTGAACATAGTTTCCGTCCAAAAAACAAACATTACTTATATGAAAACCACCCTTGAATGATGGGATGGTAGACAAAAAGCTTTAGGGATCCAAACTATAACATAATAAGTACCCTGTACCCTGTAGTTTAAGCCTTACGCTACACTGTAAAGTGTTATTATGGGAGAATTACTATTCTTGTGGTACTACCTTATTAGGCCCATATTGAGCAGAGCATATTACGACCAAAACTCATGTACAACAACTTCCTTACTTGCAACAAATAAGCACTAATTCGAAAGTTATTGAGGAAAAACTCTCAACTAATGGCTTATTACTTATAGAATATGGTCATGTAGAATGAGGCATTAATAAGTGTTTTATAATGACTACTAAAGAGCCAATATACTGCTAATATGCATGTTAATTAACAACTAGTTGATGGTTAATTTGAGTACCTTAATATAAAGTGTTACCAAAAGTTTTAGCAGAGTGCTATGATAGGCTTGTGAGAATAGAGCGAAGTGATTGGTTAGCTGGGGAGTGACGCCCCCGATCACTTATTGAGAGGAGAGAGTAGTGAAATAGTAAATGAATGAGTAAAGACGGTCTTCCTGGTTGAACATGCGCTGAGCTTCATTAGGATATGGAGACAAGTAGAGTGATGGTAACATCTCAGGTGAATGATGAGGAACAGCATGGAGTGAAAACTGATGGGAAAGTGCTGGAAACAGTAGACCATTTATTTACCCCAGGTCTTTGTTGAACAAGCATTGCACCTCAGACTTGGAACTGAGGAGCAGATTGGCCATTGCAAGAGCTCAGCTTGCGATACTAGATAAGATATGGAGTACCAAGAATAATTCCCCTTTCATACAAATAAAACCCGATGCACTCATTGATCACATCCATTGCACACAACGAATGCAAAACCTGGACATACAACACAAATATCAAAAAGAGAGTAGTTGCCTTTGAAATGCAGGCGGATCCCTGGGGTGAAATGCACAGTACTAACAACTCTGTGAAACAGGAGATCCGGTCAGTGGCAGGGTTAAAGGTCTGGACGGCAAAAGTAACAGTGGTTCGGACACAAGAACAGTCGGGTCGCCAGCAAATAACATCATGCTCACCGCAGTTGAGAGGAAGAAGTTGTGCAGGAAGACCAGGGGCTGACAGACATGAGGAGGTGGGGGGGATAACGGTGGTAGAGTCCATGAGAGTGGCACAAGATTGGGATGTTTGGAGCAGGTGGTGATGTCATCAAAGTGCCCTCGGGCAACGGGAAGATGATGTATTTTTGACAGCTGTACTCTGCAGATTAAGATGATGTGGTCAGGAATACGTGTGTCACTACACATGTACGTCATTGCAGCAGTGAATAATTAAACCACAGGAGGATGCCTTAAGGTATTTTTTTTTTTTTTTTAAAAACACGTGTTTGCTCTCAAAAATGTGATTTTGTCGAAGTTACATTATTCTTTTGGTCAGGGGCCTTGTAGAGTTCTCCTGTAAACAGACCTGAGTTGTGATTACATTCAGAGTTTTTCAGTCAAAAACATTGTGTGCATTCTTGAGGTCTAACAAAATGTCCAGTTCATTTTTCATCAGTTCAGTAAATTCCACTTACAAACATTTCCAAAGCTGAAGGAATGGTGCACTTCCTCCACTGAGAGAGATGGCAGTAGCTGTTGAAGCTAGCTGGGCCGGCCTGGTTCGTGCAGGATGTCGCCCTGGTGATGATTTATACCCAGTTTTTATTTGTTGTGGCTCTGAATCTTGACTGAGGTCGAACCAGGAAAATAGACTACAAGGTACCATCGACAACTTTTGCTAAGAAAAAAACAATGTTTCTAAACATGTTTAAGATCATTTAAAAAAGTTCCCTTAACATAAAAAACTGCCTTGTGATTTAAAATATACAATTAGGCATTTTCCTTTGTTTTGTTTAATTTTTACTGTATGTAAAAATAAAAGGTTAGTTTTTTTTAACATAGCACGTGTGGACAAAAAAGAAAATAGGATAACCAATTTAAAACACACGACATAAAACATCCCGTCATGCTGTGAACAATTGTTGATTTGTTGTGTAGTGAGGGGGTCACAGCCTTCAAAGATAGGAAGATAGAAATGCAGTTATGTCCCTTTAAGAGTTAGCAGTGTGTCTAATGTTTAACAGGTATTGGAACAATCACTGAGATACATTTGGAAACATCTCTCCTGCCAAACATTAACAGAAACCAGTGTTTAACACGCAATGGGAATTTTTATTAGAGTGCATTTTTCTATTTCATTAACAAGAATGGCTCGGAAAACTGGCCCAATAAAAATATTTCACCTTTTACAAATACGTTGTGCAGAAGCGAAGCCGCCCTAGGTGGAGCTGGAGAGTGTGATGGGCAGATGGGGGGGCCTCCGTACAGGGGCCCGATCAGAGACCGCCCTCTGCCTGCAGACTGATGGTATTACAGCATAAATGCACCACACCTCGCAGCCACGATCAAAAGTAAAGATTAGACTCCATTGACGACTCAAAAACAAACAAGTTATATTTCTTTTTCAATATTTATTTACTCTGCAAGAAAAAATATATTTTTAAAGTGCATTCGTACAATGTTGAGTTGGCACACACGTCATTTCTCGACATCCTGCAAACACAGGTCCACCCTGAACTCATCAGCCAGGAGCTCAAACAGCGCACGTTACAATTATTGGCAACAGAAGTGTAAATCAAAGTTAGAAAATCCTCAAATGAGGAAAACGCTTCCCTCACGTCATGGACACAGTCCATCATCAGTTTGCATTCTAATCGTCTGACATTTGGATTTCACTTCACTTGAGTCAACTTACAGAATGTGAAATCATAACCCCAAAGAACAAAGAATTAAGTGAACTATGCTAAATATCTCTAAATACCAAACAGTTATGTCTGTTTTTATCCAATGAGTGGAAGGTGGGTTGGTTTGAGATTTGATCAATAATGACGAGAACATTTCCCATCCTAATCTTAATCGGATTAGTGAGAGATCATGAAAAAAAAAAAAATCACAGGACCCACGCTTGAGAGCGGCTCATTTCATTAACTCTTATTTTGATCAGATTTGAATAACCTCAGGATTATATTTGATCATAATAACTGGTGTTCCAATCAAATATCTAGTCTTATGGCTATAACAGGATAATAAAAAAAGATTTAATTTCCCAAAAAATTGGAATGTCTTGTTCCCGAGATAAACATATTTTAGACATCAATTATTTCAAACAAAGCCACTCTGTCCTTCAGTGCCAATGGCCTCTGATGCTCTTTTAAACTCATTTTATATTCCCCTGCAATTCTGAAAACAGACATTTTCCAAATATAATGATTGTTTTATTTTCTTACAAAAAAAGCAAAAAATCTATTATTGGGTGACGTAAACTTTAAAGATGTGGAAAATAATAATAAAAGAAAGAGATTAAGGAAATGCATTTTGCTGTAATTACTGCACAAATACTCTGTTTCACATGATGATCGTCTCATTAGTAATGGCTTTATGTTTCCTTGGCTTTATCTTACAATAATGTGCTTCAGCGAATATTTGGCAACTGTCCATCAACCATGAACCCTCAGGAGGAGAACGCTAATACAAAGTGGTCGAGGGAAGAGAAAAGGCAACAAGAAATCCGTTTGTTCGTTCTCTGGAGATCTATTAAGAGCAACTTAGAACATCTGTCCATAATTCCTAATATTACATATTGTTCATAACTAGCAGTTACTGCCAAGTGTGTGTTCATCAATTTTCAACTGTAATGCAAACTTTAAGACACCTGCTTTCACATTTATAACTTCCATAATTCAGTTTCTCACTCATTATGGGAAAGATAATGGTAACTTAAACCCATTCATTAGGATAACACAATGATGAGAAAAGAGTGATGCATTTTAAAGTGGAAAAATGGTTTGAAATGCATAAATGAAATATGAAACATTAAAACTAAAACACGAGAAAATATACAGAGTTATATCTGTAGCCAGATGAATACTCTGTTTAGGAACAATGGTCAAAATAATACCCATACATTGGTCATTAATACAGATGATGGATTAATACAGACAATTCAAAATTAAGATAAAAAATAGCAGAGGCTTTGAAAATACATGAATTGTGAGTAAAATATGAAATGTATTGAAATAAGCTAGTATGGGGCCGTTCCCATGATTCATTGCAGGACACGTTCAAAAACAAGAAACTAAGCAGCTGAAATGTCATCAATGAAAGCTAATGGAACGACGGTGAAATCAAATGCAATCATTTGCGAAATATTTGATATAAAAAAAAAAGTAAAACATGTTGGCATAGTAACCCTCGTCGTTTGCAGTAGTGTGATGTGCACATTATAAAATGGTGACAGTAATGGCTGGCTGCAGTAACAAAGAATGTGAAAGGCTAGCAGGAGTTGAGCTAAGCTAGGCTATAACAACATCTGTCATTAGTCTAAACAGATGTTGAAGTTTAAGATGTTGTTGACGTATCATTATTATTTCTCAGAACTAGGGCTGCACAATTCATCCAACATTTAATCGGAATCAAAGTCTGCTCTATATTTTTAGGTAGAATTGAAAAAGAACTGAGTGCTATGTCCTGATGAGGGCTGAACATTTTAGAAATACCTTTTTAGAAATCTCAATATGGACGAGAGCAATATCTAAATCGCAGTAGAAGCAATATTTTGTAAAGGAAAAATATGTAAACATATCTTAATGAAGTATTGTGGTGCTGCAGAGGTCCTGTTATTCCACACAATTCATTCATAATCATTGACCTGTTGATCATTTTAATGTCATTCAATGATAAAATAAAAAATGTTTCGTAAATGTTCTTTCCCTATAAAATCGTAAATCAAAATAATCGCAATTTATTTTTGTTTTCCAAAGCGTGCAGCCCTACTCGTTCTAAGTACCAAGGTCAAAAGCAGGTTTAACAAACTGAAGACCGCAATAGAGAAATGCTACACACCATCACTGTCAGACAGATTTCATGTGCACCAAGTGTTTCCCAGTCACTCAGATCTTTTCCATTGCACTCTATGTTAATTATTGGCTACATTCAAAAGATAATTCAACTGACGCGCATGTAGTTCAACTTTTGGACATCTTTTCTATCAGTTTCATATAAAAAAATAAATACAAGACAGGCTGAATGTATTACATCAGAAACAATTATTCAAATGTAAGTGACCAATTTTAGTAAAACTCTTCAGTTAAGTTATCTAAAATATTCACATTTTGCCCAGACATGTGATCAGACTTGATACGAAGGATATTGATTATTATACTGAATTATTGCTTAGCCCTCTTGGTGTATTATTCTTAAGACGTCTTGCAAGTCATTGTTTAAGGTTGACAAAGCATTTGTAAAGAGTTTTTACTTAACATTTTGAGTCCCTTTTATGTGAAATAAAGTCCCATTTCGTATATTATATTCACAAGTCTGCTTCGGTCCTTCATATCGTTGTGACCTTATATTCCAAATAGAAACATCTATTTGAATATGGAAAGAAATGCATAATGCTATAAATTAAGAGTTGAAATACATTCATCTGGAAAAGATACAAAACCTGAAACAATTTGGCAATAAGGCCTACACATATATTTCAGTAAAGGAAAAAACGTTTTTTTGTTTTACCTTGGAAGCATCCTGATTGGTCGAGCCACGCTGACCAACCACAGCTGAACTGACTGACTGACTGACCGACCAGCAGTGGAGGAGATCTGCCGTGGACCAATAGAAGGCTTCGCACCTACGCATAGAACCAGGGTTACGTACAAGTAACCTAAACAACGTGCTCAACATTGGGCACACTGGGACCAAACCCCTAGCGTTGAAGCCATTAAAGAAAGAGAAGCAGGGAAGAACGAAGAGTTAAGTGGAGCAGATCAGGGATGTTGGTGTAGTCCTTTCCCTCTTCTCCTGTGAACTGTCTAACAGGAACACTGACTTACTTTGTGAATCAACAGCGGCACCATGCTGTCCATCCTCCATGTTACAGTCTCCAGGCAATAAGACGCGCTGTGCCTCCCCCCTCACACCCCAGAGTCTGTGTACATGCCGTTGATCAGGTAGTCCACCTGGGTGTAGTCCTTCCTCCGGTAGCTCTCGTAGGCCTGAGTGACGAACACGGCCACCGAGACCAAGAAGAAGAGCAGGCCAAAGAGCAAGACGGAGAGTAAAGACGCCGTGTCCACCAGCTGCAGGGTCAACGGCGACACAGCAACCTCTACCACCGTTCCAAAGGCAACAGGCCCTTTGTTATTTTCAGTAGTGGTGCTGCTGACGGTTACGGTGGTGGTCTCTTTGGGTAAAGACGTCTGAACTGGTGGTGGCGCTGCAGAGCTTGGGGCTTTCGTCTGTTGCGTACCTTTGGTTGTAGTCACCGTAAGGGTCGTGTTAGCTTTTGGTAGTGTGGTTGTAGTTTTTATAGTTGTTGCACGGTTTGACGCTGCTGCTGTGGAGAAGGGTGGTGCTGGTGGAGCTGTTGTTGTTGTTGGTGTAGCTGTTGTTGTTGGTGGTGGAGTTTTTGTTGGTGTAGTCGTCGATGTTTTCATGAAGGGTGTTGTTTGTGTAGTTGTTTTTCGAGTTATTGGAGGTGCTGTGGGTGTAGCTGAGGTGTGATGTGAAGTCACTGGTGAAGTGGTTTTGTTGACATTCCTTGCAATTGTGGGTGTAGTATCAGCAGTGCTGGTGATGGGCGCAGTCTGAGCAACCTGTGTGGGTAATACTGGCTGTGGTTGCATTCCTTCTGAAGATTGGTTGAGTGGAGTTGAAGATACTACAGAGATGTTTAAGGTGTGGTTGACGGATGGAGATTGGTCGAGGGACATCTCCTCCAGTCCGTCTTCTGACTGCTTAATCACCTGTGGAATTGTTTCATTTTTACTGCCACTACCAGTAACACCTGGGGAACAAAAAAGTCCATGAGTGATTAAGCTCAATAAAAAGGAAACAAACATCAAGTGTGCAGCAGGCCGGGCATACATGACAATACGAACAACGGCAGGAGGAGTAGAATCCAGAAGGCGAGCAGCAACGTACTAAAAACGACTTGACTCATAATATTTTTTTTAAAACGACAGTGTTGCTTCCGCTTTAAAGAGATAGTGGGATCCACTGCGAGCCAATGGCTGGAACTGTGGCAACATAACTTAAGATGTAGGCAGCACTGAGTTTTCTTTAACCGTCCAAGTCTGTTCACATTTCCTTTGTCATTAACCAGTCTTTGAACACTGCCAGAGCTCATACCGTGTTCCTGTCAGTATTTGCTTCCCGTCTGTTTTCTTCTGATGATTTCTATATTTTGTCCAGCTCTCTCTGTTTTGTTTTTTTACTTTCTCTTGCACCGTTTTCTTGTTCTTGTCTAGACACTAGAATGCTAGCAAAGAAGGGCAGATCTCAGAATAGTTGAAATTGACCAACAGCATAGAGTATTAAACTTAGCAGTGTAATAATTAGTTATAAAACATAAAAGTTTGGAAAACACCTTCAGGGTGAATCAAGATCTCTCAGCTTCTTGTTGGAACCTTACTCGCCCAGTCTGGGTTCTTTTCTTATTAATGACTGGCTTGCTGCACATTACCCCTCACTTATCTACACTGTGTAGATGGTGGAACTTGTATTGCTTTGGTCACATTTAAATGCAGTTTATATACTGAAAACATTAAAACATTTACCAGCTTTGATTTTGGGTGAATGAACAGCTGCATAGCGGACATACTGTATATACCAAATGACATATACACATCTGCAAAGGCATTTCCTATGGGCTCAGAACAGTCTGATAATACACACATGCACACAGAAGGATTCACACTTGTATTTCATGATCCACACTTGTGTTTTTCAATGCACACACAAATGTGTTCCGTTTCATAAATAAAATCCAAATACAGAAAAAAGTTTTACATATGTATTTTTGATCCACACATTTGTTTTCCGTTTAAATCCCCTGAACCTGAAAACACAAACCGCTTTCTGTGCACGGATCGCTGTGCATTCGTGTGTGGGTTTTTTGAGACTCCCCTGACGGTCACCCGATTCGTACTTGTAATTTCTCTCATCTATAGCCAATCAGATGTCTCCTCCAGTCTAAGCCAATCAAATGAGCGTGCCCCCACGAGGGTAGATTTCTTGCATTCATGACACTTCATATAAGTATTTTGCGCAGTCCGGTCAGCTCGCTAAACAGAGGGCGGAGCATCAGGTGATCATGCAGAGCTGCTTGTCTCCGTCAGACTCAGCAACTGATCTGATCTCTCTCTCGCGTCCGGTTACACTTCACTCGCGTTTATGTCCATATCGATCAAATCCAGCTCTCCTGATCGGCCTTTATAGAGAGCACCGATCAAACTATTAAGAGTGAATATCGGCCGATAATGACCGGCGGGGCTCCCCCCCGTTGACAGTTCACTGTCTAGCACTGGCTTCGTAGTGCACTGATCGATTAGGCTAAGCTAACCTGTAGCTGCTCCCTCCACACTCACAACAACTTCATACAGACATAAATAAAGCAGCTGTATTCGCCATACAGGAAACACACATTTAAAACGGTTTTGCCTGCCGTTTTTGTGTACACACAAGCATTAATCAATGGTTTGGAAAGTGGCGCTGTACCTTAATAATATAAAGGCTTGTATTTGTGTGCATTTCCTGCTCGGAAAGTGGCAATGTACTGAGAGTGGAGGTGTCCTGAGATTAGCGCCTGCAGGCAGGCTCCATGGACCTGTCAGCTCCGGACTGCGCAAAATGCGTACATGAAGCGCTACGTCATGAACGCAAGAAATCTACCCTTGTTGGGGCGCGCTCATGTGATTGGCTTAGAATTGAGGAGACAGCTGATTGGCTATAGATAGAAAACATTACATGTACGAATCGGCTGACCGTCAGGGGAGTCTCAAAAAACCCACACACGAATGCACAGCGATCCGTGCAGAGAAAGCGGTTTGTGTTTGCAGGGTCAGAGGTTTTAAACGGAAAACAAATATGTGTGGATCAAAAATACACATTTAAAACTTTTTTCTGTATTTGGATTGTATTTACATGTATATGAAAGGGAACACATTTGTGTGTGCATTGAAAAACACAAGTGTGGATCCAGAAATACAAGTGTGAATCCTTTTGCGGATCATGAAATACAAGTGTAGAATCCTTCTGTGTGCATGTGTGTATTATGAGACTGTTCTGAGCCCATCATTTCCTGCTGTATCACGTTGTCACCAGGGTAGGATTTTCACGGCGGCCATGATGGCCACGGCCGTAGTAGCCCCTCGGTCTGGCCGTGAAACCCCACAAATAATTGTACGTCCTACGGCCAATATGGCCTGTGTGCCCCTGATACTGTTAAAATCTCGAAGTTGCTTTAAAAGCGTCAGAACAGTGTTTTCATAACTGCATTATGCTGCGTTCACAACGGACGCGATCCGAATATTCTCATCGCTCTAACCGCAGAGTTTGACCCTTGAAGGCTGTTTCTTCTGCTCTGAAATTGAATATATTTGTTACATATTAATATAATTTTAGATGTTTTGATTTGATTTTGTGAATGGGAGAAGTAGTAGATGGAAACATACCAAACACTAATTATTCAAAGTAAAGTATTTTATTTTATATACGGTAATACTAAGGAGGCATAGGCCTATATGATGATATAATGTTTGACAT